CATCCTCAACTCTATAAAGAAAACTTTATATTGTTCCCAAGATCCCAAAGTCATTCTCTTATTAGCCCCTTTCTATCCACTGCATTGTGCACAAGTTCAAGCATGAACTAGAGTGGAGAGCCATGTCCTCTCGACATACTACTCCTCAAGGACAGATCCATATCTAGGATCTTCCAATTCCAATACAAGTGGTGATATACTTGGCCACGAATAAGAGTTGCATTAAGGAATAGCTCTAATACCAAATTGTAAACAACTAAATTTTCCATTCTACTTTAATTACTTAACCACACTTCCGACCACTTAGAGGAGTCTCACTCACAACCTCCATAAATCCTATTCCGGACTTAGAGCTTGCTAGCCTCGAGAATGGCATCCCTACCACTCAACCTTTACATTTGGTCCAAGTGCTCCACATGTTTAATCCCATGATCAACACCCAAAAACACCACCAACATATCAGCCCGTTATTGCCCTTTTATCTTTACCACACTAGTGGTCCAACACCACTTGCATCACAGTCCCATCTCTCAAAGACTAGGCGATCCGTCCATCAATGGTCATCCAAGATGCACTCCTTAGCATCTTTAGGATGCCTACAAAAATGGGGAATAGCCTTCTCCAATATCCCTTTTTTAGACTCCACCAAATCCTTTTCTATCCATGGGTGTGTTCATCAACACTGCCATTGGGTCAAGGCCCACAACTCTGACCACTAAGTCCTATTGTCCTTTAGGACTTCCTCACCATATAACCATATGTGAGACACAAAATCCCTAGGCCCCAAAGTGGAGCCGGAAGGGTGCCACGTGGTAGTGGCCGAAACGAAAGCCAAACGAGCGTAACACGTTTGGACTAAAAGCTTCAACTTGATAGGTTGAGAGTGGGAGTGGAACTCCCAACAAAGTGCTTGAGGAATGAGCATGAAGCGAGCAACAAGCGAGGCTCTAAAAAAGGACCCAAAAAGGACTAACACATGACACGTGGAAGTGTCCAAGATGGACCCAAGATGGAGTCCGAGATGGAGTCCGAGGTGGACCCGAGGTGGAGTCTGAGATGGAGTCCGAGAAGGACCTGAGATGGAGTCCAAGATGGACCCGAGATGGAGTATGAGATGGAGTCCGAGATGGACCAAGATGGAGTCCGAGATGGAGTCCGAGATGGACCGAGATGGAGTCCGAGATGGACCCGAGATGGAGTCCGAGATGGACCGAGACGGAGTCTGAGATGGAGTCCGAGATGGAGTCCGAGAAGGACCCGAGATGGAGACCGAGGTCGAGACCAAGACCGGAACCGAGACTGAGACCGAGACCGAGACCAAGACCGAGACGGAGACTGAGACCGAGACTGAGACCGAGACCGAGACCGGGACTGGGACCGGGACCGGGACCAAGCCCAAAACCGAGCTCGAGCTCGAGCCCGAGTCCGAGTTCGAGTCCGAGTCCGAGTCTGAGTTCGAGTCTGAGAGGGTGAAAGCCCAAAGCGTTCGTCTCCTAGACCCTAGGGGGTTTGGTGAGCTCCAAAAGTATAGTAAGGGGGAGGACTACAGTGGAGCTAGTTTGGCCCAGGAAGGCCAGACCCAGTGTTGGGTGATGAACTAACCACTGGGAAGTCCAAAATTAAAGTGAATACGGACCGACAAACGGGGTAGCTTGGTGAAGTGTTCAAGAGCTAGCTCTAGTTCCCCCGAGAGATCGACTGGCCAATGCTCCCAGTCCAAGTGTGGGTGGCACTACCTACTTGGATACTAGGCGTGGCTCAATGGAACCTCGCTCTAAGCCCATGGCTAGAGCACCTAAAGGCAAAAGGTGGGGAGAGTACCCACGGGGCTCACGTAAGTCCACGGTGTTCCGAAATGTTGTCCCGAAGTCCCAAATGGGGGAAAAGAGGAGGAGCAATCCCCGACCACTAAGTCCCATGGTCCTCTGGGGCTTCCTCACCATATGCTTGTATCCTTAGTCACTACACTAGAGCCTGTGGGCCTTGATTTAGTGGCAGTGTCGGCGAACATGGCCATGGACAGAAAAGGGACTTGGTGGGGACCGGAAAAGGGACATTGGGGGAAGGTTATTCCCCATGTCTGTGGGCATCCTAAGGATGCTAAGGAGTGGATCTGGGATGATCACTCATGAACGGATGGCCCACTCTTTGAGAGACGGGACTGTGATGGAGGTGGTGTCAGACCACTGGTGTGACCAAGGTGAATGGGCATGGCCATAGCGTAACGGGCTAATATGTTAGTGGTACCTTGGAGTGTCGGTCATGGGATCGGTCACGTGGAGCACTTGGACCAAGTGCAAAGGTTGAGTGGCGGGGATGCCATTCTCGGGGCTAGCAAGCCCAAATCTGAAATAGGACTTATGGAGGTTGTGAGTGAAACTCGTCCAAGTGGTCAGAGGTGTGGTTAAGTGACTAAAGTAGAATGGAAAAATTAGTCGCTTACACCATATCCTTGATCACTACACCAAAGAATTGCCCCTCTTCCTTTCCACAATCTAGGATTTTGGGATAACATTTTGGAACACTGTGGCCCTATGCAAGCCTCATGGGTACTCTCCCCACTTTCTACCTTTGGGTGTTCTAGCCATAGAGCTAGAGCAAGGTTCTATTGAGCCATGCCAAATTGGCTTTTCTTTATTGAGAGTCAATGACTATTGAAAAATGAATGTCCTTATATTCCAAACCATCACCATACCCTAGTGAGTTGGGACTTGAACCCAAACACTAAAAAGTTAGGACTTGAACCCAACCTCCGCATATGCATCTATGGGCGGCATCACCTAGGATTCCTAGCATGACTCCTAACATCAATGCACCAACTTATACCCAAAGCAAGTTACAAATCACAATTTAGGAACTTAGTTCCTCCAAACTGTCAAGTCCTCTCACTTGATAAGTCTGTGATCATGCATAGACTCCTCTATACTTGGCCCTATAGGCCACCCTTTTTGAAGTTAGCACCTTTAACTAGGGTCATTGTTCCCTTGACTTGCCAATCTCACTTAGTAAGTCATTTGACTAGCATAACATGGTTTTATATATAAGCATGAAACTTCTCAACCATTGACTTTCGTTCAAAGCTATCTTTTTTAACATTGATCCTTTAGGACTATTCCTTGATTCCAATGTCGTTTGCTAATTGTAATTATATTTTGTAGTTTAACATTTTTATTGGATGAAACTGGAAAGAATGCAAACTTAACATGAGCTGGAGTTGGTTTATCTGGATCTTTTATAAAATAGATATTAATTACATTAATACATTGACGTGTGGAACAATTGCTAGACAAAGTGACTTTTGTCAATACACCAGTGTGAAATGGTTGCACATATTCTAAGCATCTTTCCAACTAACACCATAATTGTTTGATACAAGTGATACAAAATGATGCTATGTCACAATCAATGTTTTTTATGGGAAGGGGAGGTTCTAGCTTAGGATAGTATAATATGTGGAAGTAAATAAAACTTATAATATAAAATATATTTATAATTTTTGTTTATTGTTTCCACATAAATGTGAAGCTTGGGCTTTTTTTCACAAAGAAAAAAATCATAAGACACTCATTTAAGTATTTAAATTTAAATTTTTAATATTAAAATTATTTTTTTTAAATTTTTTTTACAATGATGCAACTTAAAAAAATTTATGTTTGTGCTTGCAAACACAATAACATATGAGTGAATTGTTTTTAAAGATTTGCTCAAATTTAGATCTGAAATTTTTAAATATGATTATATTTACTTACAGAATGCTAAAATAAGGGAGCTAATTGATTAGAATTTAGAACATATGAGACAAAAAAATAAATGTAAATTAATTTTTCAACTACATAAATAAGTTTTCATATATATTTCTTTCATCATGAAAGGCATACACAAAAAAAAACCTTTAAAAAAAACTATAAACCTTCGCAAATGTAACTATTAAATTGTTAAAAACTCATTTGTTATATCAATTTTAAGAATTTTTAGCATTGAAACTTTTTTTAAAAATTCAAATAAACTAATGTGTTTTATGTTCACAAGATTATGAAAATATTTATAGGCCGTAAATTTTGAGCATATAATTACTAGGAAATGCAAACTAAGCACTTAGGTTTTAAGTGCTACATGAAAAACATAATATTATGTTTTGTAGCACAAAAACAAAAATCATAATATAATTTCACTATTAGGAACCTAACAAATTCTAAAAATATTTTAAAAGATTCTAGAAGGTTCTAAAAGTTTCGTGGATTATTCTAAAATATTCTTAAAAGCTAGATTCTAAAGAAATATTCCTAGAATATTTCTAATAAAAGTTAGAAGAAAATATTCCTAAAAGAATGCAACATGGGGATTAGAAACAAGCAGCATGCGCACCAGCTAGTTTGAAGTATGATTGCGTTATTGCAACAAGTATCATGATCAATCCATCTAGGTTGTTTGAGTGTGCTTCCCATACCTGGAAATCTCTGCAATTCCACCCAAAACGCTTCCAATACAGGCTTCTGAGCTCCCCCGTTCGCTTAGACTTGTTCATTTTTGCATGTCTGTAGACATGTTGGTTCTTGTTTGTTGCGGCAACTAAAAACTTTCCAATTTCCAAGACACATTTGTACAAATCCAATTCTTCCAACATCCTAACCAGTCCGAAGGCAGCACCTTGGTGGAATCTTCATGCGGCTTTATTCCTCCCCACCATATACTCAAAATCATCCTCATTGAATTCCATGGTGTAGCAATGTCACTAGCTGAAACCTTATGTGCCTGCGCATTTCAAATTCGCCCAAAGCGAAATCCATGTAAGTCAGCCTATATTGAAGTTGAGTTAGTATTGCTCCTTGTGGATAACACTCTGATGAAGCTCATTTTAAGTTTAACAAAGCTTCACAATTGCATCTTTTTATTGAAATCAAGTACAAGCGCACCACACAATTATTCCCATGATCAATCATCCTTGTCAAGTTAGACCAGCAAGACAAGGCATGATTATACATACGACTGCTATATATATATCATGTAGGACATGAACAAGCGTTGACGCTCATGTTGACATCACCACCAGCTGCAGCAACAATACTTGTTGGAGCATCCGCAACAGCTTCAGCCTGGTTCCACATGACCACCCAGCCGCCTCTGCAATCCTTGTCATCGTCGTAACCTTTGCATGAACATGATGCCGAGTCATATTTGCAGCTGTTGTTCACACCATCCCAGGTGCCTCCCTGTGAGGTGGTACGAGTTGTAGCCCGACCATTGGAATCCAGCACAATACAAGAATCTCCGTAGCAGTAGCAAGTGAAGCCAATTCCTCCAACATGACAGTCGTCGTCGTTCTTGCACCCCTCACAAGCCCTGTGGCACTCAAAGTGCTTCGAGTCCCCAGAAATGTCCTTGACAGCTACAAACTGCTGCAGGATCACACTACCGCGCGGAGTGCTCTTGGTCAGGCACTGGAATCCCCAGTAGCCCTGGTAGTAAGCCTGTAAGTTCCTGCCCACTTGCCACTGGCTACTCCCAACAGGGAAACGCCTGAGCACAACTTCCCATATGGGAGTGAACTTGTACTGCACAGCCAAGCTGCTGGTTGCTCCCTCCTCCATGAACGTGAACATCAGTTCCTTGCTCCGGTCCTGAGTGAGTTTTGCTCGAGTCTCGGGAGTACCACCTTTCACAAACAGCTTGTTGTGCATTTCCAAGTTCGCCGACTCCCGCTTGCTCTCCTGGCTTACACCCGCACAGCCTTCCACCCCGGACTGAAGCCCCTCCAGCTTTAGGCACGCCTGGGCCTTGAACTGCTGCTGCGAGTAGGATTTGGAAGACTTGGCGCTGCTCCATTGCTGCAGCAAGGAGCCCGTGTAGATGGTCGAGATGTAGTGCGAGCCCCACTTTGACAAAAACTGTTGGAAAGGTGTCCAGCTGCTGCTTACTCCTGGCTCAGCCACCTCCACAGGCAACGTCTGCAGCTCCTCGAAAAACTTGGGATTCAGAGGCAGGTGGTCCACCTTGTTGCTGTTAAGGGTCTTCATCTTGGAAATAGAGACCGCGTCCAAGGACAGTGCTGAGATCTCTTGCTCCCCGGCACTGATTGAGTTGAAGGTGCTCTGTAGTGTTGCAGAAACTGCTTGATAGTTCCCAGAGATGCTGGCTTCCGCACCAAGCTGCACCCCCCAATTGCAAATTGTCATTAATGACATACACTGTCACATCTCAGCAAAGACTTCTTGTTGAGTTTTGCAACATACGTACCGACATGTAGAACCTCTCTGTGCTCTCATAGAAGCTCGTCTGGTAGTCAACTTTGTTCACATCCAAGATGATCACTGCATCTTCATTCAGGTTGGAAAAGATGTTGAGACCGCCAGCTTGGGTTTCCAGAATGTTGGCTCTGGGGAGGTAGACCCCGGTCCCCAGAGAACCCTCTGTTCAAAATGTTCAAAATGCAAGTTGGTCAACTACAGTGCTACCTACCAATTCAGGCTTACCTTGCTCTCCAAGCAGTTGGAGTAGCTCCCCAGCCGAAAGCACCAGCCCGCCTTGCTGAGGAACGGTGGTAGCCTTGGACAGGGAAACACTCATGTCTGTCTTGTTAACCGTCGACCACTCCAGGCCTCTGTTGTCCAGAGCATCCAGCAGCACATTGTTTGGCTGCACCAGCACCAGGAGGCCTCCCTTGGGAATGGGAGTTTCCGCACTTTTGCTGCTGGCGAAGAACGCCAATATGCAAAAGAGAAAGAACAGTGCTGCTAGCTCGTGATACCTGGAAAACTGGTTAGTGGCAACACAATGGCACTGGAGAGAGTGCATAGCTACCTTTTAAGAAATGCCATGGTTGAGATTGAACTTGATGAATTTGCTGAATATGCTGAATACATGAATGCCTTGTGTCCATCATCCAATTTATACTGCCTCTGCTACGGTTCAAACCCCACTGTACCTTTTTCTAAAATCACTGTACCCTTTTCGCCTTGGGTCATGGCAAGCATGCTTCTAATTTTCAAGCTTGATTTAATCACGTGCCTGAACATACGGAGGCATCCATCCCTCGTGTTGATCAGGCTAAATGCGCTGGTGTTAGTTTTGTAAGTGAATCCCCAAGCCACATAAAGAATATGGAAGCAACTGTAGCCTTCTCACCTGTGTCCATTAATCGTTGAAGCTATTTGATATAGTCGAGTAGTTGTACTTGCACCAAGAACTAATGGACGCCCGTAGTCCTGGAAACGTATTATTTTTACAGATCTCACTGCTTGTCCTTCAACACAAAAGTGGAACAAAGTCAGAATCACTAACAGACTAAAACAAAAGGGCGTATAAACCTTATTTCAGGTACCTGGATTGGCATGCAAAAGACTCTTAACACACGCACAACTTGAGCTCCCGCTTCCAAACTACGCTAGTCGGTCTGTCATTGCCTCTCACTGTGCAGTGTCCTGTCCAGAATGATCCCCCGATTCTCAGGACCGTTTCCAGCGGAAGCTGGAATGTCAGATATAATCAGGACACTTTATCTGTCTGCTAACCTCGCAGAGAATCTCAGCAGCATTAATTTGCGCCAGTGGATCATCTGCCTTTCGAAGTTCCTTTTCTAAGACAGAGAAAATGCCGGGACTGCGTACTTTCTCAGCAGCTAGTTGTGGTGCAGATGCAGAGTCATTTGCTACATACTTGAGGAGAGGTTCCTGGGATAGAAATTCAAGACATACTAGTTCAACGGGTGACTTAGCCAAAATGCACCAGCTGCTTGCGCCACAGTAGAGTCCCTGGCAAAGCGAAACTATTGAGCTCGATTTGTTAATTAGAATATGTATGTACTCATTAGATAAAGTGCCTCACTAAAGGATGAACAATGCCAAAAGCTGCTTAGGCAATGCAGTTTCGGCAGAGCTTGGATTGCCATTTTAATGTCAAGGAATTTGGCTATCTGTATGAGTAGACACAGAAAAATCAGCTAATGAACCCACTAGAAAAAGAGAAAAGCTGTCTCACTGAGTTGCACTTGCACGTAAGCTTTCGTCTCGGGGTGGTCACTCTTTATAAGCATTATATATCATCTGCATTCTGGAAGTTTAGAATAGGGCCTAGTATACTTTTCTTGTTGTTCATAATTTGCCCCATACATATATGCATTTTTTCAAATCTTAAATAAACCCCCAATTCTTATATATATGTGGAATATTCTGGTTATTTTTGTATAAAGCATATATATATTTCCATTAATATAAAAAAATTATTTCACCCTTCTATGACAATTGATATTCTTGCTTTTATCTTTGATGAAATTATCAAAAACTTCCCTATCATGTTGTGGAAGCAAATATCTCTCGACTTCTGGATGATATGATAATGATGCCAAAGCAATCAAACTTGTCAGTTCCACTAGCATATTATCAGGAAGGTTGTATGTATATCATGAATTCCCTTCATCATCAGCTTCTGGAGCATCACATTCCTTGTAGTAGCATAGGTTCATTTGAAAATCAGCAGAATCAACTGGAAGATTAGTTAATTCAAGCACTTCCCTTGTGTCCCTCTAGGTATTGTTCACTTTTTTCCTCATGGAAAGAATTCGACCAACATATTAAACAAACTTCAAATGACTTCCTTCCAAACCACAATGCACAATCACTCCCAATGCCAAGAGCTGTTTGTGCACTAAGATTTCTTCCTGGTTCATAAACTGTCAAGTTATTCTTCACCCGTGTGAGCCGGTCTTTGGAGAGAAATGGATTTCCATTTAGCTGAGAAACGATGGTTGACTTGCAGATTTTCTTCCTGTCAACCAAAACTGTTGCTTCCACTTTTAATGACTCAGAATCTTCAATATGATGCAGAACAGCATCAAAAGTATGCCTCAGTTCACTTGCTGCTTCAGTAGCTTCTTCAGTAGCTTCTTCTCCTACTATATGTTCCTCTTCAAACTAATCGACTATATCATCCTCTCTGGAATTTTCTGAAACCTTGTGAAAATCCTCAAAATCTTCAGGTTTATCCCACCAATCTCTTCCAGATATGCCAAGGCCATGAAGAAGTTCTTGTGCTTTGGCTTTACCCTGAATCAGCTCATTAACTATCAGAGCATCTGTCTCTACCGAACTGTAATCCCCTAAGTCCGCTACTACTCTCTTCCCATCATGCTCTATCTTTTCCCAAATATTTTCCTGTTTCCTGTGAGCTTTAGAGAAAAGCAATGTACCTGCTGCCTTGCATTCTGCTAGCATGTTCATATTAGTCACACTATGAACAACATCAGCTCCGTCATAACACCATTCATTCCCGATCATTCCTCCTATTTTGGAGAAAAAGTTCTTGCAAATGTCAGAACCAGTTCTATTAATTGGGACTGGCAAATGTGAATGGTGATCCCAAAAATATCTATCTCAAAAGCAAAATTAACAAAAGAAAATTATATATGAAACATACCTGATTAGAAGGATGACAAAGTGATATGATAATTGAATGTCCAAGAAGGTTTCCTTGCTGATGAAGTTGTGTTCCAAGTTCCACTTGCTTTCCTTCAGAATCCACAACCTCCATAAACAAAAGAAGAAGGACACCATTGATGCAGCTCTCACTCGCTCTCCAAGGCTCAAGTACGGGTGCAAAAAGATATCAATATATGATGCCACCACAGCAAGATAAGTTTCGGTCCCCAGCGTACGTGAAGGTTTTCTATATGTTGTTTCTCGCATAATTGAAAGACAAACTTGCACTGGCCTGCTACAAAGTCGCTGAGCAGCACCCCAGTTTTGTTTATCAGAGTGCCTGACATCCCCAAGTGGCAGTCTGTGTTTACCATGAAACTTTTCAAAAACTTCCCAAATGTCATTCAAATGCACAAACTCATCCCCTAGAAACAGTTGTCTTATTGCACTATGCAATGGACTTCTTCCCATTATGCACATGTATCAAAAGGTTCCAAGTCCCCTCCCAAAACCAAACAAAGAATAGTGTTAGAAGGGTGCCACTGCAAATGGATCTCATCATCAATCACCCTGCTAAAACATGGGAGCCATCTGGTTCGCCACTTCCCCAAATGATCAGGCTTTGCCCATTCCTTTAGGATGACATAGTGGAGGTGAATAGGTGCCAGAGTAAATCTCCACCATGTGGCCACAATAGCAAATACTCTTGCTTGTTACCCATCAAAGTGGTGGTGGTTACACACCTCCTAGATTGTTTGTAATCTTGTTGCTCTCCATACTGGCCAGCATTTATGGCCCATTGCCTCCTAGACCAATGTTCCGACCTCAACACCAATCTCATCCCATTGGACTCACATCTTCCAACCATGTCATCCATGACATATGATGTGCCTCCAAGCTGGACTTTGTGGCTGGGCCACGTGCTCCTTTGAACCAGTGGAGCATATTGCCACACCTTGCTTCAAACTCTTGAATGTCCCCTATCTCATGAGCTACCTTGAGAATTTATTGCCATACTTACTTTCCCATGTCACATTCCCACAGTGCGTGCTCGGCTTGCATCGTCCTAGAACTGTTGTCCTATTGGAGCCAAAAGTGATTTTGACTTTCTTTTGAATTGGCAGCTTCTAGAAATCTAACATATTGTCCACCATCTGGTTTGTGTCAACTCCTTGCTTGATTCATTTTCTCCATAACTTTAGGATCTCTCCACATGCCTCCTCTCTATTCATCAACAAACCATCCCATGCCTCCACCTCAAAGGAGAAGAAACTGTTCAAACTTCACCTCCATTCTGTAGGATCCCAATCCAAGTCTTTGATCAGTTGCTGATGCCACCACTTGAGTGTGCCATTCCCCTCAAGTGGGTTGGTGATTGCATAATGACTAGCTATTTTGGTGCCTAGTGAAGCACTCAAATCCTCCCCTTGACCTTGTCATTAGTCACCATCAGCATGTACTACTCTTCTCCCATTGGTAGCAGCATATCCTCCCTTGTCACCTAGAAGGGGCAACCTACATAGAGAGACTATGAACTAAACTTCCACATCGCCATCTCCCCATGCTAGTGATGGGGCCATGAACACTTGAGTCCACGTGCAGCTTAACTCGTTCTCCATCTGGCTCAATCTCCCATTGCAGCATTACAAAGTCCCTGGGTTTAAAGCACCTTCTCGGCCAAGGTTGTTCCCTCTTTGCCTCAACCATGGAGGATTTTAGATCTACATGAACTTTGCAACTCTTGCTTGGGTTGAAGACTTGCATCCTCTTTGTGGTCTTCCTGCAGACCTTGTCCAACACTCCCATAAGCTGTTTCAGTGTCCAAAAGCCCCCTATGTGCAGCTTCTTCAATATCGTGTAGTGGTCCTCTCTAACCAGCATTTGGTTACCAGCCCTGAACAATTCGTTAAAGAATAATGGCTGGTTCAGTCAATCCTCCAAATTTGAGCTTGCATTCCTCGTCCATATATGGAGGCTAACACTAAAAAGAAAAACTCGCTGAACGAGTGTAGCTTATTGCCCCCTTTTCCATTTCTTCAGATTTTTCTTCAGCTCTTCTATAGCTTCTAGTAATTCATCATTCATGGTACCAGCTAGCCTTTCACCGGCCCAAACAGTTGACAAAGGTGGAACCTACAGAACAAACCACATAACATATGACTTTCAAAGCTTACCATAGCTTTTTCTTTGGAATGTTCACTCAGGCTTACTTCTTTGAAGGCCAGCTCTCCTGCTCATGGGCATGGTTGGTCCCAACCACGTTCAGCCAGAATCCTGACCGCCGCCGAATATGGTCAGCCGAATGCAGTCGGACAGTTCCGTTCGGCAAAAAAAATGGTGATCGCACTCACAGGGGCTAGATTTCTGATGCTGCTACAGCTA